CTGTAACAGACATTTTTGAAGGCGAGGCAATACCCGGTCCACAGCCAGACATGAGAGATGGCATGTGATCACAGCCACGATGTTGCTTGGATGACTGGTTTTAAAGGGAGTATCGGTTTCAACATCAACATCACGTCTGATGGGTGGAATATGAATCCCCTTATGTCATGGCTTGACTGATGCATTGATGGATGTTGTCGTTGCAGTTGATATTCTGGAGGTTGTGATTGGCAGGGCGCATAGAAGTGACGTCCTGGAGCTCCTCTTCATCGTCACAGAATTGGGCTGCTGCGCGATGGCACAAACGCCGTTGCCCCGCTTCCCCCTTCGACGACTGGCATCCCCACTCTTACATCCCATGCTTCCCCGCGACTGATCCAAAGCCATGACTCGCGCTATGGGGATCATGGCGCTCTGACCGTGTCAAAACATAGACTGTGCCGTCGCTGTCGGTACCAGTCTGCCTAGATTGAACGGTCCGACGCCTTGCCTCGTAGCGGCACCCTTCACCTCGCCCGTCCAGAATTGGACTGGTCGAAGCTGGATGGGAAGGGGGAGTGGGAAGGGGGAGCGAGAAAGAGAGGCGAGAAGGGTGAGAGTAGGTCGGGCCGGGCGAAAGGGGGGGATAGCAAAGGGGGGGGGTGAGAATCAGCTCACGTAGCGAATTCTCCCGGCGCCTCCCGCCGCCGGGAGGCGCCCTTGTGTGGAAGAATGGGCCCGGCGGCGGGGCCGAAACCAGCTGCGTGCAGCAGATTTCGTAGCCCCCCCTCCCCCTATCCCCCCCTTTCGCTCGGCCCGAGCATAGGGGGAGGGAGCCAAATGCCTCAGGCCCTCGGCCCCTGCCGGCCGGGAGCACTGCGAGCCCCAGCCTGGCAGGAGGGAGCACAGAGCAGCTGCAGCGGGCTCTTCTTGAAAGGCGCCATCGCAGCAGCCTCTGAAAACACACGCGCGCTCTTCATCGCAGGCACTTCCCTCCGCATCGCCCTCCCGTCCCCTCCCCTCGCCCTGCTCCCCCAGCCCCACCTCCTCCTTGCCGCTCCCGCCCAGTCCCCGTGACCCATCCCATCCCCTGCCCCCCCACTCCCGCCCTGCCCTCCCCATCCTCGTTTGTATACCCTGGGCCGTCACGCGAGACCCGCTGCCATCTCCCCCGGTATCATCTCCCCCCCCATCCACAATTACACAATATGATTACTGCTCCCCTCTCTCCCCTGATGACGTCCCGAAGATATCCGCCCCCCCCCCCTTCGCGTACTGCTTCCTACACGCAGGATTCCCGGGAAATGTGTTGTTGCTTGTTCTGAGGGAGCGCGTTTCACGGGCGCTTGCCTTGGGAACATTCGGCGGCGCGTTTCGAACGGGGGTGGGCCCCCCCAAACACTCGGCGCCGTCGATCAAAACCGGGGGGGCTCCCCTCCCCCCCAGCCCCCCCCCCCCTCCCGAACCCCCCCACCCCTCCCCAACGCGGGCGTTCAAACTTCCCCCCCCCCCTCGGCGCCGGCGCCGGCGCTAGCGGCCGCCACTTGCGCACACGGCGGGGACGAAGCGACGATGAGCAGAGGCAGCCCCAGGGGGTGCGGGCGGGTTGAACCTCCCCCCCTTCGCGCCGGCGTCGGCGCTGGCGGCGGCCAGCAGCGCCGGCGCTGGCGCCACCACCACCACCACCACCACCACAACCCACAACCACAACCACCACCGTCGTCCTCGTCGACGCTCCCCGCCACCGCCGCTCGCCGCCGCAGGCGCCGGCGCTGGCCCGATTTCCCCGCCGCCGTCGCCAGCCGCCGCCGACGCAAGCGCCGGCCCGAGGAGAGGGGAAGCAGGGAGGGGAAGGGGGGGGGTTGAACCCCCCCCCTCCGTCACGGGAGCGGTGGTGGGGGGGCCCCCCAGGGGGGTTCGAACCCCCCCCCCTCAATCCAGGGAGGGGGTGCGGTTCCAAAACACCCCCCCCCCTCCAAGCGACCACAGAACGCACTCTTTCGTTGTTTTCCTAAATATTGCTCCCGCTGAGGCACTGGCCTCAGTTTCGGGCGTCCGCTCGTTCCGAATCGTGCTCCCGCTGTTCGCTTGCCTCATTTCTGGGATTCTGCTCGTTCCGAATCGTGCTCCCGCTGAAGCGCTGGAATCATTTCCGCGCTTCCGCTCGTTCCGAATCGTGCTCCCGCTGCAGGTCTGGCGTCATTATGTGCCATGCCACGGCATGGTTTTCGGTCCTTCCAAATAAGCCTCAAAAACTAAAACAAACTTCCCCGAAAAAACCATAGAAAGTGATTGCACATTCGGTGTCGATTCGTTGATTTCTTGTGCCGCAAAAGCCCCCCCTCCACTTTGGGGCGTAGCCACGCCATGCTACGTCATGCTACGCTTTGATATTCAACACCATGCTATGCCATGTAATGCTACGCCATGCTGCGACATCCGACTGTGCGAATAGAGAGGAGATCTACGCCATGGTCAAGGATTGGAGGGAGGGGTAGGACGTCAGATATGACGCGAGCGCACCTAGCTTACCACCAGCACTCTCCCTTCCCCCCACCCGCCCTTACATACTTTACCAGCCTGAAACATATCCCTATCCCTATGCTGGACACCTCCTCATCACGATGCCAATCTTAGGGAGTCCCTTCTTTTTTGAGGGCGAACCCCTCAGATTGTCATCGCCTTTCGGCGTGTCAGTCCGAGGGATAGGGATACGTTCGAGGATGGTAAATAATCTCCCCCGGAGCCCTCAGTCACTGACGCGGCATGGTCGCAAAAAAACCCTGTTTTTTTTGCAATCCTGACGGGTTTTTGTTGCAATCCTGGTTTTTTTTGCAATCAGGTTTTTGTTTGCAATCCTGGGCTTTTTGCAATCCTGTTTTTTTTGCAATCCTGGGTTTTTTGCAATCCTGCGTTCAAGCCTGACCTCACTTCGTCCAGGGCAGCCGGGCCCGCACCAAAGAGCGGTGGCTCCTTCTCTGTCGCTCCCTCGCCCTCTGCCTCGCCGCCCGCTCCCCCCCTGGCCCCTCTCCGCTGCACTGCCCCCATACCGCGCTCGCACATCCTCACACACGCCCCCTCCAGCGCGTCCGCCAGCGCAATAGCCTCTCTCCTACAGTCGGGGCGTTGGCCCAAGGAACCCTAAAGCAGGAACGAGGCCCCTATTCTCCATAACTTGAACTTCGACTTCCGGTCGAAAGCCTGAGGACAACCTGAGGCAAGCTGCGAAACACGTAAGGAACGCGGAGCCCCTCCCCAACCAGAAGGGTTCCTTCTTCAGGGCCCCGACTGTACAGTCGCCCAGCGCGTCTGCCAGCGCAACAGCTTCTCTCCCACGGTCGCCCCCGCACCGCCCCCGTGATGCCCATCGCCCCAAAAGCGGCAACATGGAACAGGTCGGCGGTTTAAGCGGTGGGGAGTAGGCCTGCCCGTCCCCGAAGACGAGGGCAAAAGGGAAGCGCCCGTCGACTGTCAGAGCAGTCCGGCGCTTCGGGCAAACCGAGGCCTCGGGGTCACAGAAACAGTGCTTCCGGCGAGCGGCGTGTGCCCCCTCCTCCGCAAAGGTAGTCCCATCCTCCTCTCCCTCATCGTCCCCTGTTCACCCCGGCGTCCAAGTCTCGTCGCCCCCTCGCCGCCCCTAGGGGACCACATGCGAACCCGACCCCTGCCCCCCACGATTTCTGAGGGGGAGGATGGGGTTCACTTCGCTCGGGAGCCCCGAACGAAGTGAACCCCACCCTCCCCCCTCAGAAATCGTGGGGGGCTATAGGGGTTAGGATTCGCATGGGGCCCCCTCTCCTTCCTCCTCCTCCTCCTCCTCCTCCTTTCTCCTCCTCCCCCTCCTCCTCCTCCTCCTCCTCCCTCCTCCTCCTCCTCCTCCTCCTCCTCCTCTTCCTCCTCCTCCTCCTCCTCCTCCTCCCCCCCGCTTTCCCCTCGTTCCGATTACTCTCCCGCTTCGCGAGCGCCGCGTCGTGGCAGGGCAAGGGGGCCGCCTCGCGCCGGCCTGGCGTTGACAGCTATACACAGTACAGTGGGGCCACAGCTCCAGGGAAGCTCCGGTCTGCGCTCCCGCCGGACGGAGGGCGAGGAGCAGGAGGGAGGGCTCGAGGAAATGGCAGGAGTTTGAAGCTGGAAGCTCCCTCGCCCTCGTCCTTTCTGCCCTTCCGTGCTGACCTCTCGCGCTCCTGCGCTCCGTGAAACGCCGAGCTGTCTTGCGCTTCCTGAGGCTGTCGAGAGCTTCGCTGCATCACCTCCCACGCCCTCCGCAGAGGTCGGGAGGTATGGAAGGATGGAGGTTGAAGGGGCCCAAGGACACACAAATGAATACACACAAATAATCTAATTCCCCATATTTTCTCATATTTTATGGGTGTTTGTCTCCCCCCCACACTTCCCATATTTTCCCATATTTTCCTGGGAGTCGACGATTTATTGTGTCTGTGTGCTTCTTTCCCTCCTAAGAGGTGGAGGGCGGAGGAGCTGCACGAGCGGGGCCCAGGGAGGATGTCGATAGCTTCACTGCATCACCTTCCACGCCTTCCGCAGAGGTCGGGAGGTATGGAAGATGGAGGTGGAGGGCGGAGGAGCTGGACAAGCGGGGCCAAGGGAGGACGGGGCGGAGTGCCCGCAGGAGCGGGAGGACCACGGTGCGGCGGCAGGAGCGGCAGCCGCGGGGGCCGCAGCAGCAGGGGCAGGCAGCGGGAGCGGCAGGGGGACATTACGACGACGACGACGACGACGACGACGACGACGACGACGACGACGACGACGACGACGACGACGACGGCTGCAGCAGCAGATGCAGGAGCAAGGAGGCGAAGGAGCCGGAAGGAGACGATGGAGCACGGAGCGCGCGCTCGCAGCAACCATGCCCGCTGCAATCACAGGCGGAGGAGGGGAACGAGGCGAGAAGGAGGAGGGAGAAGGAGGAGAAGGAGGAGGAGGAGGAGGAGGAGGAGGGAGGTGAGGAGGATAGTGAGGAGGATGGTGAGGAGGAGGAGGATGACGACGACGACAACGTGGCGGACGAGGAGTGCGGTCAAGAGGGCAGAGAGGCGCGGCGCGGGCCGCATGCGGCAGGCTCGGGCGAGATCAGTTGTAGCTGAACTCCCGCTCACCAAGCCCCGAAGCAGCACTCGACCACTGAGGGCGGATTGCCGTCTTTGTGGCCACCCTCCCCCCATGGCGCGCCTCCCAGAGCTCCAGCGCAGTGACAAAAAAATCAAGACGGAGGTGCTTCTCACATTTCGGCCCCTAGGGGACCTCGCTGGGCCTCGGGACCGCGTCAAAAAGCGACTTAGGATGAAAGGCCGGTCCTGGGGAATGGGTAGAGACTTCCAGGGACCCCCGTATTGAACAAATCAAGACCCCGGACCTCTGGGCTTGCGGAGCCGAGCAGGGGTTGGCGGCAGTCTCCAGGCCGATGTGTGGTTCGCCCTGACCACCACCAGGGTGCACTGGCGGCGCAGAGAAGGAGGTACAGTCGAGGCGTTGACCCAAGGAACCCCAAATAAGGAACGAGGCCCCTTTTTTCCACGAGTCAAACTTCGCCTTCCCCTCGAAAACTGAAGGAAAACCTCAGGCAAGGTGTGGAACAAATAAGGAACACCGAGCCCCTCCCCAGCGCAAAGGGTTCCTTCTTCAGCGCCCCGACTGTACGGCGAGGGGGCGGCCTTCCAGGAAGGCAGGGGGGCCAATCCGCAGGGGCCCGCCGGGGGGCCCCTGCGGTCGAGAGCTGCTGCCTGGCGCTTCGCAGCGCTGCGGCGGCCCCTGCGGCACGCGATGCCCTGCAAGCGGGTGCGGTGGCGCTCCGCTCCGCGGGGCGGGAGGCTGGGAGAAGCTCAGGGCGTGGGCGCTGGAACCTGGAGACATGAATCGAGCGCCGCGCCGAAGCGCGGTGGGGGGCCAGAGCCGGCGGAGCGACACGCTAAGGCTAAGCTTCTGACCGTTACATGATGAGAGCTTCAGAAACCCAGAAGGCTTCTGAGAAGCACCCTGCCTGCTGGGAGGCCCCCTCCCTCGCCCACCCCCCCATCTCATCTCATGGGAGGGGACCGTATCCGTATGCACAGCCTCGCGTACGGCTCCCCTTGCTAAGGGAACGCGCAGGTACTGATACCGCCGCTCCCCAGACCTCTGCCGGGGTGCGTTCTGACCGGAACGTAGAAGAGAATCTGGCCGTGGCGACCAGAGCTCTCCAGGACGAGCAGCGGTGTCGGTACCTTTGCCCTCTGATCTGCAAGTCGAAGGAGAGCGTGGATGTGGCAACGCCAGGGTCGACCGCATCGAAGAAGCAGAGTACATGGGACGGGGCCCTGGACAGCGACGCCACGGGCATGGATGTGCTGTACGACCTCCTGCGCATCGCCGCCTGCAGCCCTTCAAAAGAGGAGCCACCGTCTCCGACTGCCCACCCCCGCGTGCCCTCTCCCCGGACGACACCCGCCCCGGCCTCCCAGGAGGGCAGCCCGAACTCTGAGGAGTTTCTACCCTCTCCTCCTCTCCCGGTCTTCCCGGCCCGCGCTGGGCCCCGCGCCGTCAGCCCCGCGCCCGCCCGAAGCGCCGGCAGCGGCTGCCAGCTCAGCGGGACGGCTTGCGCTGCGCAGCACGGGGCCGCCGCTGGCCTATGTCGAGGCCTCCCAGATGGGGGTCGGCGTAGATGGGGTCGGAGGATCGCGCCGCATCGGCGATGCATCGGGGATGCACTGGCGTCGCATCGCCGACGTCGGCGATGCATTGGCGACGTCGACGTGAAGCAAATCGGGCTCCACGCCGAGCCGCATCGGCGATGCATCGGCGATGCGGCGCGATCCTCCGACCCCATCTACTCCGACCCCATCTGGGAGGCCTAGACTATAGCGCGCGCCAGCACAGGGCTGCGAGACGGGCATTTATCCATATCCAGCGCCTGGAGACCGACGTCCTGGTGCCCCAGCGGGCGGTGGATATGGATATATTATGGCCGCCGAGGGCCCGAACATATGTGCATATATGTATATATAAAAATAGATAGATCGATTCCCCAATCAGAGCTTGCCTCTGTAGGGGTCCTAGCAGATTCATATGGGTAAAGTAGGTTTGTCGCCGATTCTCGCTGCACGCCCGGATGCCCGGGTGCCCGGGGGTGCCCGGGGCCTGGGTGCCCAGGGGGTGCCTGGGGGGTGCCCGGGGGTGCCCGGGGGTGCCCGGGTGCCCGGGTGCCCGGGCGTGCCCGGGCGTGCCCGGGGGTGCCCTATAGCTCCATAGCCATAAGCCCTATAGCCCTATAGCACTATAGCACAATAGCCCAATAGCCTAATAGCCCTACAACTCTATAGCCCTATAGCTCTATAGCCCTATAGCTCAATAGCCCTATAGCACTATAGCCCCCTAGCCCTATAGCCCTGATTGGGTTTTTCTCGCTTATCATATAGATGCATCTATATATATAGAGAGAGAGAGAGACGTGTGTGTATATATATATATCAATAAAAACACGCACACACACACACACACTCACACACACATACATATCCACCGCCCGTGGAGGTCCACGAGGATCGATCCCCCAGGCGGTGGATATGGACAAACCCCCAGCTCGGACGGGCGCGCCCGCTGCCCGAGCCTCGGCCTGCCGCGCAGTCGCTGCCCGGCCTGCAGCTGGGCGCGCGCTCGTCGCGCGGGGCGGGCCTGCCCTCCCGGCGGCTGCGCTGCAGCCTCAGGCTCGCGGGTGCAATGGCAATGGACGCCCTAGTAGTCCCATCATGGCATGGTTGTTTAAAGTGTTGAATGTTCCCGACGCCTTCGATATCACAGAAACTGGTTCGGCATGCTTAAACCGTTCTCCGGCATCTAGAAATGATTTGGCAACATGCCTCCTCTCCATTGATCGACTTCCACGACCTCAGGCTGAGCCGGCGCAAGCGCAGCGCCGGGCCTGCGTGGCCGCGCGGACCGCGTTCGTGGCGTGTCCCTGCAGCGCACACCCTCAGTGTTGCTGCAGCTGCCGGATGGCCGCGGCGCGCGCTGGTCCCCGTGGATGTGCGAGATGCCGCCGCGAGGGCTGCCGCGTCCTTTTCCTGTTGTTTGGCTCGCGCGCGTGCTGTTCGAAGCACGAGCCAAGTGGAAAAAGATCACACATCGGATCCGCAACCCTAGTTTAGAGGGGTGAAGGCCGATGCTGCAGTACGCAGCGGCTGTACCGCCCAGGCGGAAGCATCTCCTCAAACGCACTGTCGAAGCACAACAAAAGCTGTGACGGCACAAGTGCTGCCACGTCCTCGCCGAACACCCCCTGGTCTTCTATGACAAGTTGGACCGGTGGGAAGCCTAGCCCTTCCTCCTCCTCCACCTCCTCCTCATCCTCCTCCTCCTCCTCCTCATCATCATCATCACCATCACCATCATCATCATCATCATCATCATCATCATCATCATCATCATCATCATCATCATCATCATCATCATCATCATCACCATCATCATCAACACTACCATCGCCAGCATGATTATCATACTCATCATAATCGTCATCATCATCATCATCATCATCATCATCATCAGCAGCATCATCATCACCATCATCCTCATCAGCAGCAGCAGCATCATTATCAGCATCATTATCAGCATCATCGTCATCATCAGCAGCATCATAATCATCAGCATCATCAGCATCATCATCCTCATCCTCACATCCACATCATCATCAGCATCATCAGCATCATCATCATCACCAGCATCATCATCAGCAGCAGCACCATCACCATCATCAGATTCATCATCATCAACATCAACATCAACATCAACATCATCAGCAGCAGCAGCATCATCCGCATCATGAATGTATGATCCTCCTGCTCGTCTTCCACTTCCTCCTCTTCATCCTTCGTTTCCTCCGTCTCTTCCCCCGCTCCTCCATGTCCGTTCTCCTCCTCACCATGGTCCTCCTTCCACCCTGACCCTTCTCCGCCCTTCTCCACTGTACCCCATGAACCCGCGCGCAAAGGGATGCTTCCTGGGGGGAGTACCCGCTCGCCGTAGCGGTGCTGTCCTCTGGGGACGCCGTCTTGAAGGCCACCTGGGGCAGGCGTTCTGACTGGACTGCGAGGGGGCAACTGGGGTAGGAGGGAGGGGAAGGAGGAGGAGGAGGAGGAGGAGGAGGAGGAGAAGAAGAAGAAGAAGAAGGGGGAGGGAAGAGGAGGAGGAGGGAAGAGGAGGAGGAGGAGGAAGAGGAGGAGGGAGGAGGAGGCGGCGGGATATAAGCAGCAGGAGCAGCAGGAGGGGGAGCGGGAGCAGGGGGGAAGAACGGCGAGGAGCGGGGAGCAGAACGAGGGGGAACGGGGAACGGAGATTTGGGAAAAGAGGGAGGCCAGTGCCATCAGACTGCTGCACGCGTTGATCGCCACACTGGGCTGCGCAGGCCCAAGCGGAGCACCACTGAGAACCGGATAAAGAGGGGCACGCGATGAACACAAGAACAAGAAGATCAGAAGGCGACAACACGGGACGAGAGAGACGACATAAGAAAAGACAAGGCAAGCGGAAAGACCACGACGACAACAACAAAAAACATGTAACAGAAGCAGCCGCATCTACTACTACTACAACGACACACAACAACAACATCATCAACAACAACAACAACCGCAACAGCAACAACAACAACAACAACAACAACAACAACAACAACACTCATTGTAAGATGTGTGACTCTTACTTGCTTGCGTGTCATTCAAAACGAGTTCCCCACACCCTCGATACCCGCCCTTTTTTTCTTCGATCACACCCCCTTTGGATGTATTGTTTCTCTTTGCCGGGGGCGGCGGGCTTAGACAAGCGGGCAAACCTGAACGGGCGGACATTCCTACGTGGGCGTACATGTGCCCGCCATTGGAATTGGTGTGGGTCCTGCAAAAAGCGGAGGGGGAGAACGAGGGAGAGTGGGAGGAAGGGAGGGGGAGGGACGAAGGAAGAGGGAAAACGCCAGGAGAGAAGGAGCGAATAGGGGGCGGTTGATTAGAGGCAGAGAGGGAGAGAGAGAGAGAGAGAGGAAAAAACAAAACAGACGTATTATAAGAGAGGTAGAGAAGGAGAGAGCGAGAGAGGGGATAGAGAGAGAAAGAAAAACGGGAGGAGCCAGGATAGGGGAGGGAGAAGGGAGGAGGGAGAGGAGGGAGAGGGGATAGGGCAGAGAGGCATCAGGATGAGGGAAGAGAGGAGGGATAGAAAAGGGGGAAGTGGAGGGAGGAGGGAGAAGGGAGAGGGAGGAGGAGCAGGAAGGTAAGAGCGTGAACGTCGAAGGAAGTCCTAGGCGAAAGCGCCGCTCCTGAAGGAAGTCTCGGGCGGGAGCCCACGACGGGCGGGCGATCCCCTGACGGGCGGGTCGGGCGGGTGGGACATTCAAACGGCATGCGTGAGTATGGCGAGAGCGCGATTACTAAGTAAATTGAAACGGCATCCTTGGCGCAGCGTGTTTCCTGAACGTCGAAAGCACGATTTCTGAATACATCGCATGGAAGTCACAGGCGAGAGCGCAACTCCTGAATAACATGTGACGGGCTCTCTGGCGGGAGCGGGGGTTTTGATTAAATTGCGAGGAACTCTTGATTGAATCGCGAGGAAGTCTCAAGCGGGAGCGCCGTTCCTGAGTAAATTGTTAGGAAGTCTCAGATGAGAGTAGGGGTCCGGACTAAATTGCGAGGGAGTCACAGGCGGGAGCACCAATCCCGGGTAAATGGTGAGGAAGTATCAGGGGCGGGGGTCCTGAGAAAATCCGGAGGAAGTCTCAAGCGGGAGCCGTTGTTGTTGTAATCTGGGGGGGCCTGGGGCACAGTTTGACCAGGAAGACTTTCCCTGTCAAAAAACCGGGTGCGAGCGTCGAGGGGCACACTTTGATTGAGAAACAGTATGCACCAGTGAGGGGGGATCAGCGATAACTAAACCTTCAGACATGAGAGCTCAAGAACAACAACAACAACAACAACAACAACAACAACAACAACAACAACAACAACAACAATAATAATAATAATTTTAAGACCGTTCGCCCTTATATGCCCGAGTGTCCAATAACGCGTATTTCCCAAACCCTCGATACCCGCCCTCTTCGTCTTCGATCGAACCCCTTTTGGGGGGTATACCTTTCTTCCCTGCAGACCGGGCCCCGGCAAGCGGCGGGGCGGCCGCGGACCGTCGGCCTGGCCAGCGGCAGCGCTGATCGGCGGGGCGGCCGCGGACCATCGACCCGACCCGAAGAGGGACGGACAGGGGACCGACCACGACGACGACGACGACGACGACGACGACGACGTCGACGACGACGGCGACGACGACGACGACGACGGCGACGACGAGCGAAAGCGAGAGCGAGAGAGAACGACAGCAGGGCCACGAAGGGCACGAAGTAGGCCACGAAGAGGCGACAGCGGGGACACGAAGGGAATACGTGAGCGCGAACAGTTCGGGGGCCACGAAGTGCAAATAATGCGGGGCCACAGAAGACAACTATGGGGCCACTGAGGGTAGCAACTGGGCCACGTAGGACAATGAGGGGGACACAAATGGCGACAGCGGGGCCACGAAGGGCATGCACATGGGGCCACAATGGGCGCGACTCCTGGGTGCCTGGGTGTCGGGAGCGCGGCGCTTGGGCAAATTGCAAGAAATTCCAACGCAAGGCCATTCTTCAGTAAGTTGCAAGCAAGTCTCCAGCGAGAGCGCGACTCCAGAGCGCCGGGAGAGCGATTCCTGAATAAATTGTAAGGAAGTCCCAAGCAAGAGCGCAATTCCTGAATAACATGCAAGGAAGTCTCGGGCGGGAGCGGGGGTCCTGGCTAAATTGTAAGGAAGTCTTAGGTGGGAGCCGTTGTTGTTGTAACCCGCGGCCCAGGGGGCCAGTTTGACCAGGAAGACTTTGCCTGTCAAAAAACAGGGTGCGAGCGTCGAGGGGCACATTTTGATTGGGAAAAAACAATATGCACCGGTGGGGGGGGATCAACAATACTTGTTCTTCAGAAATGAGAATTCAACAACAAAAACCATGTTAAGACTGTTCGCTCTTACCTGCTCGAGGGTCCGTTGACGCGTAGTGCCCAAACCCTCGATACCCGCCCTCTTCGTCTTCGATCGTACCCCGTTTGGGGGCTATACCGTTCTTCCCTGCAGGCTGGGTCCCGGCAAGCGGCGGGGCGGCCGCGAACCGTCGGCCTGGTCAGCGGCAGCGCTGATCGGCGGCAACCCGACCCCAAGGGGGACGGACAGGGGACCGACCACGACGACGACGACGACGTCGTCAACGACGACGACGGCGACGACGACGAGCGAAAGCGAGAGCGAGAGAGAGAACGAAAGCAAGGCCACGAAAGGCACGAAGTAGGCCACGAAGGGCGACAGCGGGGACACGAAGGGAATGCGTATGGGGCCACGACGGGCGCGAACGAGCGGGGGCCACGAAGGGCACAGAATAGGGCCACGGAAGGCAACGACGGGGCCATGAAGGGCAGCAACGGGGCCACGTAGGAGAGCGAGGGGGCCACAAAGGGCGACAGCGGGGCCACGAAAGGCATGCACATGGGGCCACGACGGGCGCGAACGAGCAGGGGCCACGAAAGGCATACGTATATTGGGCCGCAGAGGGCAAGAACGGGGCCACTGAGGGCAGCAACGGGGCCACGAAGGGCAGCGAAGGGGGCCACGAAAGGCGACAGCAGGGCCACGAAGTGCCTGCATATGGGGCCACGACGGGCGCGGAAGAGCGGGCGCCACGAAGGGCAAAAATATATGGGACCATGAAGGGCTGCGAGGGGGCCACGAAGGGCTGCAACGGGACCACGAAGGGCTGCAACGGGGCAACGAAGGGCAGCGAGGGGGCCACGAAGGGCTGCAATGGGGCCACGAAGGGCAGCGAGGGGGCCACGAAGGGCTGCAACGGGGCCACGAAGGGCTGCAACGGGGCCACAGAGGGCAGCAAGGGGGCCACGAGGGGCTGCAACGGGGCCACGAAGGGCAGCGAGGGGGCCACGAGGGGCTGCAACGGGGCCACGAAGGGCAGCGAGGGGGCCACGAAGGGCTGCAACGGGGCCACCAAGGGCAGCGAGGGGGCAACGAAGGGCTGCACCCGATTCCTAAATAATGTGTGAGGGAGTCATAGGCGTGAGCGCGACTCCTGAGCGTCTGAGTGTCGGGAGCGCGGCGCTTGAATAAATCGCGGGGAATTCCAACGCAAGGGCGGTATTCTTGAGTAACTTGCAAGCACGTCTACAGCGAGAGCGCTCCTGAGGAATCTTTCATGCTCCGTCGAAATCCTCTAGGACCCATCGGAACCCTCAAGAATCATCGAGAAATCATGGGGTCCTCGGACTCTCTAGAGATTCTGAGCAATCAAAAAGCATCATTAAAAACTAATTGGAATGCATGATGGGTCCATCGTGGCACACCGTCGCGAATCCACGAAGAGGACGTCCGCCGCGGATGACTCTACACTACTCTGTCCCGGCCGCGTGGCCGATGCTTGGCTTCCCAGCCAGAGCGAGAAGCGGACAATTCATGCCCCTCCCCCGCCAAGAAGCACCCCTCTGCCGGGCGATAGCGGATGGGCAAGCAGGCCCAACATTGGCGGATGGGCTGGTACATCTGGACTCCGAAATGCATGCCGACCTGGGGCCACAGGTAGGATGATGCCGCAGATGATTTCATTCATTATGATGATGATGGTGATGATGATGATCCTGATAATCATCATAATCATCATGACGATGATGCTGATGATGATGATGATGATGCTGATGATGATGATGATGATGATGATGATGATGATGACAGTGATGATGATGCTGATCATGATGGTGACAATGACGATGACGATGACGATGACGATGATGACGACGATGCATATGATGATGATAATGATGATGATGGTGATGATCATGATGATGATGATCATGATGATGGTGCTGACGATGACGATGCTGCTTATGATGATGGTGATGATGATACTGATGATGGTAAGGATGATGGCGGTGGTAATGTTGATGCTGGTGATGCTGATGACGCTGATGCTGATGCTGATGCTGATGCTGATGCTGATGATGATGCTGATGCTGATGCTGATGCTGATGCTGATGCTGATGCTGATGCTGATGCTGACACCGATACTGATGGTGATGCTGCTGCTGATGCTGGTGCTGATGCTACCGATGATGATGCTGACGATGATGATCAGCCCAAGAGCGCAGAATGCCCTCGGAGCACCGACCCTCGATACTTACCTCTGCCCGCCAGCTCCCTGCTGCGCCTCCTCCTCCTCCTCCTCCTCCTTCTCCCCCTCCTCCTCCTCCTCCTCCTCCTCCTCCTCCTCCTCCTCCTCCTCCTCCTCCTCCTCCTCCTCCTCCTCTCTCCTCCCTCCTCTCCGCCTCCTCCTCCTCCTCCTCCTCCTCCTCCTCCTCCTCCTCCTCCTCCTCAATGCCGACCCCGCCCACCTGCTGCGCTAAGCGCAGCGAGGCGGCGCCCGCGCCCAGGCGGCCGCCGCGGCCGGAGGTCTGCGGCGGCGGCCCGCGGCCAGAGGACCTCGCCGCCCCGGGCGCTCCAGGGGTGCCAATGTCGTCGACGTCGCCGACGCGGTCGCATTCGCCCTCCTCCTCCTCCTCCTCCTCCTCCTCCTCCTCCTCCTCCTCCTCCTTGTCCTCCTCCTCCCCCTCCTCGCATTCGGCGCCGTCGCCGCCGTCGCCGTCGCCCTCGTTGTGGCCATCGTCGCCGTCGTAGCCGTCGCCGTCGCTGTCGCTGTCGTCGTCGCCGTCGCCGTGTCCGTTTCCGCCGTGGCCACCGTTGCGCGTCACGCTGCGCGAAGCGTGGAGCGCGAAAATAGCTTCGCGCTCTCGCGGGCCACCCAGGGGAGAAGGGGAGGATGATGAAGTGGAGGAGCCGAGCCGCGAAGCGCGAGCCGCGAAGAACTTCGCGCCCTCGAGGGCGCCCTTGGCTTCCCTGCCGCAAGAGCGCCTGGCCAACACCGACGTCACTCGGGCCCAGCCGCCTGGCATGCCATTTCGCACCCCTGCCTTTCGAATGGATGCAATCCCAGCTCGCGCTGGGGAGGAGGAGGAGGAGGAGGAGGAGGAGGAGGAGGAGGAGGAGGAGGAGGAGGAGGAGGAGGAGGAGGAGGAGGAGGGGGAGGGGGAGGGGGAGGAGAAGTGGCAAGGGCGCTGTGGTGGCCCTCTTGGACCTTCCCCACCTGAGACGCCCCCCCGCCCCAACCCGCCCCGCAGGGAGGGGGGGCCTCCAAGAGGACGGTGCCCAAGAACGGGTGGCTCTCAGAGCATGGCCCGAGGCACGTGCGCGGACCACGGGGCGGGCCAGGGGACGCCTTGAGACAGGACGAGGGGCCACCAGGTCCGAGGAGACGTCGTGGGCCCGGCCACGTCATTGCCCCCCCATGGTCATCATCCCCCCTCTTGCAGAGGCCTCCTAGATGCGGTCGAAGCAGATGGGGTCCGAGGATCGCACCGCATCAGCGATGCATCGGCGACGTCGGCAAATGCATCGGCGGCGACCGCGTGAAGAAACTCGGGCTCCGCATCGGCGGTGCACGATGCGGCGCGATCCTCCGACCCCACCTGCTCGGACCCCGTCTAGGAGGCCCAGACCCCGGCCGCTCCCGAAGGAGGGGGGGGGGCCGAGGCTTCGCCCGCGACGGCCGGGCGACGCAGCCCGTGGCGGCGGCGACGGCGGTGGCGGCCAGTCGAATCGGGGACCCCGGGAGGGGCCGAATGGTTTCTTCAGGGGGGCTCGAGGAAGGAGACGGCGACCAGTCCGCTGAGCACCCGCGTCGCATTGGTACTCCATGCCAGTGCCCCGGGCCGCAGAAGGGAGAGGGGCCAAGTTTGGACGGTGGGACGATGCACACGGCTTCGCAACCGATCGCGAAACATACCCACCAGCCCTACGCACGTTTAGACCCCGCTCAATAGAACACTAGTAAAAGAGAGCCCTGGCCCGATGCCCTTTCCGAGAAAAAAACAGTATGCCCGGAACTGGCCCTGCGACCTCTGGCGTTCTGCTCTCCCGTTGCCCTTCTGCTCCCCGTTCCTCCTCCTCCTCCTCCTCCTCCTCCTCCTCCTCCTCCTCCTCCGCCTCCGCCTCCGCCTCCGCCTCCGCCTCCGCTTCCGCCTCCGTCTCCGCCTCCGCCTCCGCCTCCGCCTCCTCCTCCTCCTCCTCCTCCTCCTCCTCCACTCCTCCTCCTCCTCCTCCTCCTCCTCCTGCTCCTCCTCCTCCTCCTCCTCCTCCTCCTCCTCCTCCTCCTCCTCCTCCTCCCCTCCCTGGACTGCGGCGAGTAGATGGTCCCATCGGATCTGGCCGAGCCCCGGTGCGTGGGAGGCTCGTCGTTCTCCAGGTCCTCGGGTGCGCGCGGGCGTCGCGGCGAACGCACGCGAGCGGATCGGGCGGGTGGTACAGTCCGCCCGTATAATACTCCGAGCTTCTAGCGTCGGGGGGGCGTCACCCCCGCCGACAGCCCTGTATCGACCCCCGTCGCGGGCAGCCATCGCGCGCCGAAAGCGCTCCGATACCCGTCGCGGCGCAACGACCAGGCGAGGTTGACCACCGTCGGGGGGGGTACCCCCCCCACGCTCATTAAGAAACCCAGTAACTCGCCATCGCTCGGACGTCCATTCCCTGTTTTTGTTTCGGTTTCGTGCGTGGTTTGTTCGGCAAATGGTCAAGGATGCTCCTTGATGGTCCTCGCCGAGGAAAAAACGCACACGTCCACGCGATGCCAGGAGTAAGGCTGCGCGATAAGGGTGCAACGCTTTTCGGACGAGCTTCGCCAGCGAGAGCCGCCCAGGATGTGGTGTGCGGGCTGACTGTAAAGGGGGGGGGAGGCGTACGGCAGGTTCGTGTCGTGTCGACCCAACCGTTGGTTCCTGACACCGCGGGGATCGTTCAGCCTTGAACGATCGGCCGTTCCGGGAAACATCAGGATCGTGCAACACCGACCCATTCTGGGCCGCCGGCAGCGTTCAACGTTGAACGCCGCCGGCGGGGTCGCCACCGGTCGACAGGACGCGAACCTGCCGCACGGGGGGGGAAGACAGGGGACCCGAAAAGGGAGCCTCTCGGGCCCCTTTTCGGGGCCCCTGCTGGCTCTCCGAGGGGCCCTGCAGTGCCCCCCTTTTCGGGCCCTGGTCTTCACCCCCCCGTGTGGATCGGCCCCCAGCACAGCAGTCGGGGCCTTGACCTAAGGAGCCCAAAATAAGGAACGAGGCCCCTTTTTTCCACAAGTTAGCCTTCGAATTCCGGTCGGAAGCATAAGGAAAGCCTGAGGCAAGCTGTGAAACACCTAAGGAGCGCGGAGCCCCTCCCCAACAAAAAGGGTTCCTTCTCCCGGGCCCCGGCTGTGCCACCTGCCTGCTCCCCGCCCCCCCCCTGCGCCCTCCCCTCCTCCTGGGCGTGATCCGCCCCCCCCTCTCGGCCGAGGAGCCCGAAGAGGGCGGTGGCGTGCACTGCGGGAGGGCGAGGGCGCATCGAAGGCTCAAAGGAGCCTGCCTCATCTGGGACGCACGAGGACATGCTGATACCAGATGCCCGCCCTGCAGGCGTGCGTCTGAGCCGCACCTGCAATATAACCATCTAGTAGTGCATCGCGTCCCGGGCGGTGTGGCCAGAAAGCGCCCAGCACGGAGCTGATGTGGTGTAGCACCCCGTAGCTGCGGATAAAGAAAGGGGCGGGCGGGCGCGGGGGGGGGCGCGGGGGGGTCGCGGGGGGGTCGCGGGGTGGGTCGCGGGTTGGTCACGGGGTGGGTCGCGGGTGGGTCGCAGGCGGGCCGCGGGCGGGTCGTGGGCGGGTCGCGAGCCGGGTCGCGAGTGGGACGACGACGAAAACAACAACAACAACAACAACAACAACAACAACAACAATCACTTTACCCGAACGCTCAGTGTTCTCACCAGTGCCAGGGTTTTCATGCGACGCCAGCCAATACCCCCACTTTGTGGGGGGGCAGTGCAAGCTCTACCAAATATCCACACGACTCTTCGCCACCACCCACACCCAGCTTCCCGCCCTATGACGTTCGGACACTTCACTTCGTGGCCTGCGGACGACCGTGGCTACTACACTGGCGTGGAGTACACACCCACAGAAGTTGTTAAGCCTACGTTCGTACACCCACAGAAGTTGTTAAGCCTTGTTAACCCACAGAAGTTGTTAAGCCTTCCACAGAACATCTGTTGCATATGATGCATATGGTACATGATACACATGATACACATTCGTGTGATTTTATGATGCGCGGTGCTAAAATTCTTAAGAACCCAATGGTTTTTGGAGATTTCGGCGTGCGCGCGCGAAGAAAAAACGAATGTGTCCCGCATGGTATTATTTGACAGGGATGATGGCCCTGGCAGGTGCGCAACCGTTGTCGCAGAAGTTCGAAAAAGTTGCTCGCAAAAGCCCGTTTGACAGAAATGTTTAAAAAGTGTTGGGTTTCCTACGAATCCGCAAGAGCGCGCGGGATGAGATTTTGACATTTTTTTGTTGAAAAACCATTGTTTTTTTTGATGTTTTTATGTTAAAATCGCTCCGAACACTAAGCTTTTGGAAGGATTTCGTCTTGCGCGCGCGAATGTCCACTTTACCTTATTTTTTGCAAGGGATTCTTGAAATTTGATTATATTAGAACAAGAAATGTCATTTTTAGTGTTTTTTGCAAGGGAAAGCGGATTACAACAAAACAACCGGATCTTGACACATCTTTACCTGAGGCTTCCTCACGAAAATGATGAAAATGTAGCTGCGGCCTAGGCGGCGCAGGGGGGCGTGCACCAGGGGCCCAACAATAATTATTCTTTAGAATAAATAATGTTCAACAACAACAACAACATTTAAACAACAACAATTTACTAGCACGTGGGACCACTCCGTTCTCACCAGTGCCAGGGTTTTCATACGACGCCCGCCAATACCCCCACTTTGTGGGGGGGCCGGTTCAAGCTCTACCACATTTCCAAACGACTCTTCGCCACCACCCACACCAGCTTCCCGCCCTATGACGTTCGGACACTTCACTTCGTGGCCTGCGGACGACCGTGGCTACTACACTGGCGCGTGGCTACTACACTGGCGGATTGTGGCCCCTGGCAGGCGCGCGAACGCCGTTGAAAGAGCTTGCGAAAGTAGCTCGCGCGAGCTCGTGTAACATAAATGTTGAAAAACCATTCTGGTTTTTAAGGATTCGGACAGCGCGCGCGGGTAGAAATTTTGAAAATCCGTGCACGTGTTTTTCGAGGACCTACGGTGCGATTCGTGCGATTTTATGATACGCGGTGCTGAAATTCTTAAGAAACCCAATGGTGTTTGAAGATTTCGGCGTGCGCGCGCGAAGAAAAAAACGAATGTGTCCCATATGGTGTTATTTGACAGGGATGATGGCCCTGGCAGGCGCGCAACCGTTGTTGCAGAAGTTCGAAGCACGTGAAAAAGTTGCTCGCAAGAGCCCGTTTGACAGAAATGTTGAAAAAGTATTGGGTTTTCTAAGAAATCCGCAAGAGCGCGCGGGATGAATGTTTGAAACTTTTTTTTTGAAAAACCATTGGGTTTTTCATGTTTTTATGTTTGAACATCGTCGACATCGTTACGAACACTAAGGTTGTTTGGAAGGATTTCGTCGTTGCGCAGCGGACAAAACATGTCCACTTTACCTTATTTTTTTTGCCAGGTGGTGGGAGGGGGGGGGGAAAGGGGAGGATTCTTTAGTTTGGTTATGTTAGACCAATAAAATGTCCACTTTAAAAAAAAATAAAAGCATTATTTTTTTGCAAGGAAAAACGGATTACAACAAAACAACCGGATCTGGATCACATCGTTTTACCTGAGGCTTCCTCACGAAAATGATGAAAATGTAGCTGCGGCCTAGGCGGCGCAGGGGGGGCGCGCTCCAGGGGGCCCAACAATAATTATTCTTTAGAATAAATAATGTTCAACAACAACAACAACAACAACCAACCAATCACTTTACCCGAAACGCTCAGTGTTCTCACCAGTGCCAGGGTTTTTGCATGCGACGCCAAGCCAATACCAACCCCCACTTTGTGGGGGGCAGTTGAGCTCTACCAAATATCCACACGACTCTCGCCACCACCTCACAACCCAGCTTCCCGCCCTATGACGTTCGACACTTCACTTCGTGCCCTGCGGACGACCGTGGCTACTACACGGGCGTGGAGAACACACCCACAGAAAGTTGTTAAGCCTACGTTCGTACACCCAACAGAAGTTGTTAAGCCTTGTTTAACCACAGAACCCACAGAAGTTGTAAGCCTTCCACAGAACATCTGTTGCGTATGATGCATATGGTACTTTTGGAGAATTTCTGGCGTGCGCGCGCGAAGAAAAAACGAATGTGTCCCGCATGGTATTATTTGACAGGGATGATGGCCCTGGCAGGTGCGCACCGTTGTCGCAGAAGTTCGAAAAAGTTGCTCGCAAAAGCCCGTTTGACAGAAATGTTTAAAAAATGTTGGTTTTCCTACGAATCCGCAAGAGCGCGCGGGATGAGATTTTGACATTTTTTTGTTGAAAAACCATTGGTTTTTTGATGTTTTTATGTTAAAATCGCTCCGAACACTAAGCTTTTGGAAGGATTTCGTCTTGCGCGCGCGAATGTCCACTTTACCTTATTTTTTGCAAGGGATTCTTGAAATTTGATTATATTAGAACAATAAATGTCATTTTATAGTGTTTTTTGCAAGGGAAAGCGGGGGGGAACAAAACAACCGGATCTTGATCACATCGAATTACCTGAGGCTTCCTCACGAAAATGATGAAAATGTAGCTGCGGCCTAGGCGGCGCAGGGGGGCCGTGCACCAGGGGTCCCAACAATAATTATTCTTTAGAATTAATAATGTTCAATAACAACAGCAATCACTTTACCCGAACGCTCAGTGTTCTCACCAGTGCCAGGGTTTTCATGCGACGCCAGCCAATACCCCCACTTTGTGGGGGGGGCAGTGCAAGCTCTACCAAATATCCACACGACTCTTCGCCACCACCCACACCCAGCTTCCCTCCCGCCCTATGACGTTCGGACACTTCACTTCGTGGCCTGCGGACGACCGTGGCTACTACACTGGCGTGGAGTACACACGTTGCAAAAGCGTGCGAAAGTAGCTTGCGCGAGCTCATGTAACATAAATGTTGGAAAACCATTGGTTTTTTTAGGATTCGGACAGCGCGCGCGGGTAGAAATTTTGAAAAGTCGTGCAGGTGTTTTTCGAGGACCTACGGTGCGATTCGTGTGATTTTATGATGCGCGGTGCTAAAAGTCTTAAGAAGCCCAATGTTTTTTGGAGATTTCGGCGTGCGCGCGCGAAGAAAAAACGAATCTGTCCCGCATGGT